GTTGTAAAATGCATGATAATATGTTAAGTAATCCAAAGTATTCAGAATACGTTACTCTCATTGAGTAACGTAACGGAATACGTTACAGAATACATTTTAGGGCATGTATTCTGTATTCTGTAATGGAATACGTTTTAAAAGTAACCTTCCCAACACTGGGCGTATTTTTTTTTTTAGGAAGTAGAAATAGTACACGTAGAAAATGTTTTAAAGGTGCACAGTCAATGGCTACTTTGTTACACGTGTTCAAGTCCTAATATCAGCCAATCACATGGCGACAACTCAGTGCGTTTAGCCACGTCAACATGGTCAAGACGACCTGCAAACTTAAATTCCATTTATTCAGAAAGAGGAAGAAAGATAATTAAGTAGTTTTGAATGTGGCATGGTAGTTGACCCAGATGGTACCAGATGTTGATGTGCTGGGATTGGAATGGACACAACTATCTCTAGGGTTTCTAGAGGATGGTCTGAAAAAGCGAAAATGTAGTGAGCAGCCATACTGTTTCCACCTGATAGGAATGCAAATAAGCACTCATTACAAACAAAGTATGCACAAGAGCATCTCTGAATGCGGAACATATGGGCTGCAGCAGCAGAAGACCACATCGGATGTCACTCTTAGCTCAGAATCAGAATACTTTATTAATCCCTGAGGAAATGATGTCCTCACAGTTGCTACAAGACAGAACAGTAAGTAACTAAATTAAATGATACAAAATATTACAAAGTTACAAAAATAACAAAATAGCTTCAATTATAAATATCCCAGTATCTTACGCAAAATGAAAAATATATGTAGTTGGCGCTGAGGGCTCCCTCTTATTAGATTGACTTTGTAATATGCGTTTTGCGCAAGTTTACAAATATCGAACAACAGCAGACTGGGAAAACATTAACTGGTCTGATGAGTCTGGATTTCTTGTGCAACATTTGGATGGTAGGGTCAGAGTTTTGTGTAAACAATATAAAAGCATGGCTCCAACCTGCCTTACATCAACATTCAGGCTGGTGCTAGTGGTGTAAGGGTGTGGGGGATGCTTTCTTTACACACTTTGAGCTCCTTAGTACCAAGTGAGCATGGATTAGTTTATTACCCAAGAACTATTATTGACAATATCCATCCCTTTATGACTGCAGTTTCCTCATTTTGTCCTGGCTGCTGCGAGCAGGATAATGTACCATGTGACAAAGCTCCAATCACTGGACTCTGATGGCCTCCACAGTTATCAGACCTCAATCCACCTTTGGAATACAGTGGAACACAATATTCACATCTGGATGTGCAGCTGACAAATCTGCATCAACTGTGCAACGCTATTGTGTCATCATGGACCAACACCTCTGAAGAATGTTTACAGCACCTTGTTGCATGGATGACACAAAGAATAAAGGCAGTTCAGAGGGCAAGAAGGGGTCCAACTTGGACTAACAATGTGTCCCTAATAAAGTGGGCGCTGAATGTATACTCCTATAAAACTAACGTTTAAGCAGTGGTTCACTAAAGCAGATCTAGGTTCAGTCTAGAAGCAATGTTGGTTAAATTTACCCCATGATGGAGTTGGACAGCAGGAAGCAGGTGGTATCTGAGCACTAATCCAAAAGGGAACGTCTCAGCTAGGGTTTTGATTTTCTGAGAACATCTCAGCTGGACGCCGCCTGGTGACGTTCTCAGCATGCACATCTTTGAGGGACAGAGGATGTTACTTGGCAACTCTTCAGAGCAAATTGAGGACTTCCTGAGAACTCCAGAGGAAGTCATAAAGCATATCATAATCAAAAGGACACTTTTGATAAGAACTTCTCCAATAATCAGTGAAGACACAGGCTGTCCATCACCTTTAGAAAACACCAGCTTCTTTATAGCGACTGAGATTGGTGCGGCTATATCGTATTTTTATTGCCATCACTGCCTCAAACACAATCTAAGAAACACTTTTCTTACCTTTTAATCCACAAAAACATTGGAGTTGTACAGCTATGAACATTCAAGATATTCCTCAGACTGTGCAGGCCTAACTGAGGCTGAATACATGAACCACCTCAGAATATATTGATGACTATTCTTCTTCCTCTCCAGCAAAACTTCATCCAATATGACCTGCAAACAGTTGCACATTTTTAATCAATCAATAAAAAAGAAAGCGGAACAAAGGGATGAAAAGTTAAACTTTAGCGAGGGAAAGGTCAGCACAATAACATCAGCAAAGTCTTGTTTACCCCCTGCGGCGGCTCTATGCGCCACCAGGTGTGCCTTCCACGCAGGTTGAGAGCCACGGCTCTGCAGGGTCTCTGCATGAGCACAATTGTGCCGTTCAGGTCGGAGCAAATGAATGTCCATTTCGGGCGGTCTGATTGATGTCAGATTGAACCCGCCTCGAGGACTGGTTATTTATGACATCGAAGAAAATAGAGACCCACGGCGACATTATCGAGCAACGCCTCGATTCACATGAAAATGTATCAGACCTGATGTATGACATGCATATCGACTGTTCAAATTCTTTCTGAGTAAATATTAGAATCTGTTACTGCTGAAAAACAGATGTCATGATTGTGTGACAAGGTGGAAAACCACGCATATGAGCTTGAGCGACAACATTTTTTACATCCAGTGTTCTGTCAGGTTGAAGTCAGGACTCTGCGCAGGCCAGTCAAGTCCTTCCACACCGAACTTGCTCATCTACATCTTTATGGGCCTTTGTTTGTGAACTGGTCATGTTGGGAAGGTGGGAAAGGGCCATCCCCAAAGTATTCCCACCAAGTGTGGAGTATGAAATTGTCCAAAATGTCTTGCTATGCTGAAGCATTAAGAGTTCCTTTCACTGTAGCTAAGCGGCTGAGCCCAACTCCTGAAAACAACCCCACACCATAATCCTCCTCCACCAAACTTTACACATGGCCCCATGCAATCTGAGAAGTATTGTTCTCCTAGCAATCGCCAAACCCAGACTCGTCCATTGGTTTGCCAAACAAAGAAGCCACTCCAGAGAACATGTCAGCGTGCTTCACACCAATGCATTCTACGGCTCAGATGCAGCTGCTCAGCGATACACACTGTTCTTGTGCTAATCTGAAGGCCACATGAAGTTTGGAGGTCTGTAGCGATTGACTTTGCAGAGAGTCGGTGATCTCTGCGCACGACGCGCCTCAGCAGCTGCTGTTTCCGCTCTGTAATTTCACATGACCTACAACTTCATGGCTGAGTTGCTGTCATTCCCAATTGCTTCCAATTTGTTATCAAACCACTAACAGTGAACTGTGGAATATTTAATAGTGAATGCTGGAATTCACTGAGCTCCTCACAAATGTTTGAATGAATTGATTTGATTCACCTGTGACCATGAAAGGAATCAGAACCCCTAAATTCAATGTAAAGTTGAGTAAAAACTTTTGGCTATATAATGTATAAACAAGATTAAGGGATGTTATAAACCCCTATGCCATGTTACTTTACGATACCCCTCATGGCAAAATGTAATCCATGTCTTTGTGATGTACACTGATCCAGTATTTAAGAGTAGCATTTTCACATAAATACCCATTTTTAACCTTTCCACAAAGCAGAATCATGCCTGGCTCAAAGGGAAAGGTGAATAATGATGATTGTAATCCATCATTTTTTAGTTTAATCTCAAATCCGGGGGATCATAGACATGCCACGTCAGCAGGGATTGTGCTAAAATGAGGTATTTTCACATGAAAGTACAGACACCTCAAACTTAAGTGGAATTCTAGTCAAATATTCCAAACATTCCCCACACAAAGCTTTTAGTCCAATACTTTTATTGCTTTTTTGTTGCTCAGTGTCATTTCTTTGAAATAATATAAAGGCTTTTACACAGACACACAAAGTTCCCATAGGATGGCAGCTTTGTGTACAAATGTGCTTCCTGCTCAGTTCCTACACGTCTGTTTTACTGTGACAGGGTGACAGATGAAAGCTAGTTCCTGTTTATTGAT